AGATCGTCGACGACATGGACTACATGTCCGCCAAACAACACTCAACACCACTTCAGTCACAGTCATCTCCGCTCCCCATATATCCCATTCGTGTCAAACAGGAGCCCGACTGCGGCTACGGATCGCCTCCACCCGAATGGACCCCTTTTAACCATAATGTAAGTGATTTTGACTTGTTTTTGAACCCAAACCCCCGATTGTCTGAAGACTGTGTGCTAATGGTATGACACTCTGCGCCACTGATACAGGAGTCTCAGCGATCCCACGGCTTCTTCACTCACATCCAAGACCTGGCGCTGAAAGAGTGCGCCAAAGAGATAGACACGGCCTGCGAGGCACTCAACATATCTGCCGGTATTTATCCCCTTATTTACCGTTAATTTAGTTTTCTATGCTATGCCTGTCAGTCATGTCTTTGATTGGTATTGTCGTGGTTAAAACCACTGTTTTTATTGTGAATAATACTTACGTTTGTTTTGTGAACAACACAACTATTCAGTAAACTCCGTAACTTAACTTTTTTCACCAGCATAAACCCTAAACCCAGTGTTTTGTTCAGCCGAGCGTTTTGTTTGATTTCATAGGTTTGCATCTCTTGTTTGGATGCATTGGTTGGGAACTGAAGGCAATTGGAGGCAATCGACCCCAATCTCTCAGAGTTATAGTTACAGAAAGTTTGTTGAATACCCGGTAAGTAAATCGTAATCTAATACTAATAATAATATTGAAACTTGAATTGTAAGGAGCACTCGGAATGAAAGGTCATAATGACTATAAAGACTTAGTTTTTGTCATTTTTAAAGTTTTTTGTTCCCATTTTTTGTCGCAAATAATACTCTTTTTTATTGAGACATCTATTAATATACTGTGAATACTATTAGAATTGGTTCAGCAGTTTTTGCTCTCATTTTTATCACACAATTAAGACATTATGACAAAAGGCATACAATAGTAGTAATTAAAAATACATTGAATTGATTGACTAATTGAATGATTGTTTGGTGTCTTGAGATCCATTCAATTGGAACGCCGCAGACGTGAGGAATTGGTTACTATGGACTACAAGACAATTTGATTTACAGCCCTTTCCACTTAGTCTCAATATCAATGTCTTTCAAACAACTTATGGGCCATTCATTTAGCATTAGATTATGATTATTATTATAACTTTGAACTTAACATTCCTCGTGAGCCTTACTTTCCAGTATTACTGATATTTCTTTTAGTTTTTGTCATTTTTAAAGTTTTTTGTTCCCATTTTTTGTCGCAAATAATACTCTTTTTTATTGAGACATCTATTAACAGTTACAGAGCAAAATTAAAACTCGCTTTATTAGCACCCGTATAGCATTGGCTGTACTAATGAAAACGATTTCATTAGTACAGCCAATGCTATACGGGTGCTAATAAAGCGAGTTTTAATTTTGCTCTGTAACTGTAATATACTGTGAATACTATTAGAATTGGTTCAGCAGTTTTTGCTCTCATTTTTATCACACAATTAAGACATGATGACAAAAGGCATACAATAGTAGTAATTAAAAATAGACATTGAATTGATTGACTAATTGAATGATTGTTTGGTGTCTTGAGATCCATTCAATTGGAACGCCGCAGACGTGAGGAATTGGTTACTATGGACTACAAGACAATTTGATTTACAGCCCTTTCCACTCGATTACTTCCAAATGGACGGAATGGCTCTTTGCTCACTGTCTGAGACAGACTTCAAGCAAAGGGCCCCCAACTGTGGCGAAACACTTTACGCACAGCTCGACATTTGGAAGACAGGTATGCCTTATGTCCAGCGTTTTGCGAGTTGCCATCCCTTCCCCTCCATTCCCATACATATACCTGTAGTGCTGTTTATATAAGTCTTAAATAACTATTAATGTGAGACTAATGGAGTCGTGTTGTGCTTATGCTTTGCATTCTATGGCTATGTCTTTATCTCTCTTTCTTTCGATATACATATCTATATATACTATACCTATATTTTGGGTGCTTTTGCTTATAAATGATTGCATTTATGTTTAGCCGTCGACTTTCGCCCCGAGGAAAGCATTCTCGAGTTCAGTTCAATCCTAAGCAGTTGGTCGTCATCGCCGCCGCCCTACTGCACGTCATCTTCACCGCCATCTAATGCCAGTGCCGTTCCCTCTCCGGGACAGGAGAGTATGGGTTCAGATATACTGAGCACAGTATGTCTGTCTCCCGTATCGCCACCGATGTGTTCGTCTCCAATCATAACCGGTTACACAACTACTGGAATGGGCTCTCCTGTGCTCAGCCCTATAGCGAGCTCTACTATTGTTACCTCTGATTATGGTAGCGAAGGAACTCAAAGCGATGGTATGTATTACTGGATCTCTAATGTAATATCGCAACAGGTTTTGCCAAAATGTTATGCTTTTAGCTGTTGTGCTGTGCATTAAGGCATTGGCATTAAATGCCTCACCCATTGCCTGCTTTAGCTCAGGGCTTACTATCCACTGGAACTGCACATTAGCAACAGTAGCACTCATTGCAGTCATTGCTTTGGGCTATATCTTTGAGAAATGCTTTTTTATGCTTTCAAATGCTTTAACTTATATTTGACGGCAATGACGGACGGACTCCAAACTCCAAATATTTCTCACAACACCTCTTAGACCTCTTAAATGTATCTGTTTTTTTGTGTTGAGTCTCTCTCTCTCTCTCTCTCTCTCTCTCT